CACTTATTAGATAATTTAATTTCTTTTTTTAGCATTACTCCTTAATGTCTTAAAATGCTGATGCTAATAACATTAGCATGCTAGTTAGGCAAAGTGCTTTCGATTTCTGTGTTATGAAAGCATTTTCTGTCCCCAGATTAAAGTCACGCTTAACTTCTAACATGAAAATGGAATTATATAGCAAATGAGATATGTATGCTTTCATTTTTCATCCTAAGACGATGCGCTGCATTGTTCCCCGCTGGCTTCAGTTGAGCTACAATTGAAAAAAATGAATATTTTTTGTGTACAGAGCTGCATACATGTAAATATTTATCTATTTTAAACATAAAACAGTGTGCGGATAAATGTAATATGATCAGGAATGTGAATACTGTAGGAGGAAGCTATGCATGTCAACTTTAATTTCTGATCTTAAGCACAAAGGGCGAATACCTGCGTGTGCATGTGTATGTTCTATGTTGGGGGTAGTAATAACTAGAGCATAGTTTTGCAATACCACCTCAAGGCATATAATATAATTCCATAATTCTTCGACTTAAGTTACGCCAAAAGAAGGGAAACAGTATAAGACGGATTGTAAAGTTTGATAGATTTCTTGGGGTGATAGTTTACACTTTCTAAGCCAACATCTAAAGGGTTGGGTTTTATTTTTGCATCATTGTTAGTGTACTCTCATGTACTTTGTCATAAATCAGAATATTTATTTCCTTCGCAACATGGGGTATAATAGCAGCAGAAATACAAATTTAAGGTAATCATTAAAATGTTCCTACCAATTTTTTTCCGAGAAGTGAAAATGAATGCTTATCATAAAAAAAATGGCTAAGGGAGGGGAGGGGGAGCTGTTTAAACATATGGTGGGCACGAGAGGCATTTTGCTGTTTAACTCTTGATTAGATAATGGTGTGGGGGGGGGGAGAGAAGAGAGAACAAGTACAACAGGAAAAGTTTGAGGTAGGTGCTTTTGTGTGTGAGTTACAAAACAGCGAGCTGCACACGTGTATATGATTTTTAAGGGAAATGTGAAGCTTTAGATAGGGTTGTGCAGTATTCCTGCATATCTCCCTCCCTCCCTCCCTGTCCATGTGTGTGTGTGTGTGTGTGTGTGTGTGGTTGTGTGTTTGCAGCCCACTCCTTCCTTGTCCTGTATTTCTGGGGCTGAAGTCTGTTCCAAGGGAAGCGAAGGGGACCTAGTTTCAAGATCTCTTTTTTTGGGAGGGGGGAGGCGGTGTCAACTCAACGTCTGCCTTTGGCATTCAGAGAAAGAGCAATCAGACAGTGCAGACAATGGGAGACCGTCTGCAGATTGCTCCATATACTCAGGAAGGCAGAAAAGTGGCAGGGCGCACTTTATCCTGTTTCTTTGACTTTTTAAAAATTAATCACTTCCTGACTTTTACTTCAGTCAAATAATTCCAAATAACTACCAGGCCCAAGATAAATGCATTAAAGGAATCCAAAGGCACTCACACACACAAGCCAGCATCAATTCTACTTTGGTGTAAGCTGCCTGACCCTCGGTCAGCCGGCAACCTCAATCTTTCTTTTGTGGTTTTATTTTATTACTATTTTTTTAAACCTAATATGCGCTACACAATTTGTTTCTAAAGAAATGTAAAAAAGCCAGATTGAGATGTTAAGATCTCCCCACTTCCTGCATGTAGAGATTTCCCTCCATTTAAGTTTTAATAGCATTTGTTGGTATTTATTTTCCGCAATTAGAGTAAAGCATTTTCCCAATGGGGGTTCTACTTAAGCCGATGAATTTTATTTCTTTTTCCATTAATGATCCATGTTTATCATACTTCTAATTATTTTTTACTTTAAGTATTATTTGGACTTCTACATGCACTTGCTCTGGTTTACAGCAAGACCTCCATTTAAGGTATATGTTTATATGCACATACACAAATATAGTCTGAACTGAAGCTAAGAAGTATATTTTGATCTTTTAAATGAATCTGATGTTTTCGCCATTCCATTAGCCATTATAACAATCGGCTTGTGGAAAGCTTCAATTATCAACCCAATTTACACTGAAATTTTTTTTCCATGTGTTTGTACAGATAGAAACAAACACACTTCTTTTTTTAAAAAAAAATGAAGCAATCATAATGACAAATAGGAAATCAATATTTAATTTCTGCCGGCTTTACACATTCAAAACCCTTCTATTCTGTCTCCAGTTATATTCAATCTGATAAAAAGTCCTCAATGCTGTATAAATGAATCTCTGAAAAAGATCTGAGGGGGGGGGGAATAGTATTATTTGACAGGCTTTTATCTCAGTGCAATTTGGGCTTCCTTTTTCCTATTTCCCATGAGGGAGAAAATGGAATTCAACACAGACAAGAATCCAGAGTGGAAAACATAGACATGGAAGACTTTGAAATGTATTGTCACTTCATTTTCATCTGGCCAGTTTTTCTCCCCAAAAATGCATCCATGAAGTGATCTCTTGAGCTTTGGAGCCAAAAATGATTGAGTTAACTATATAAACTGCAAAACTAAAGAGTGGTGGTGGGGAGAACTGGGAGAGAATGGGAGAAAGCTATATAGTGCCAAACTGTATTGGTCTTTAATTTATTCACCTATAAATGAGGAAGCATTGGCTCCCATGCTAAATTTTTATTCTTTGGCTTATAAATATTATGTGGAATTTTTGCGGGGATGTCATAAAACAGAACGATTTCTATCAAACTGTTTTGTTTTGTTTTTTAAAAAAAGACCTATGCAGAAAACACAAACAGAGGCTGTAAAGTCAGGAATCACTTTCCAAAGGAAGCAAATCAATGTTTAAAGTGCAGGAGAGCTCTTAGCATGTTGTATTTTGAATGGTGTGGCGGAGGGGTGGGGTGGGGAGGGCGTTTGTGTGTGAAGGGGGACTTGAGACAAATAGAATTATGTGGTTTAAGACTTCCTTGGCCTAAGATATTAAAACTTCTCACCCTTGAAGATCGGAGGGAGGAGGAGAGGGGTGGGGGATGAAGGTGGGGCCCCAAGCTTTGCAAGTCCTTTCAAAGCAACAGCCAAATTGAATTGTAAAACCAGGTCATTGAAAACTTGTTTTTTAAAGCTTGGCTGGCTTTAGGCAGCAATTCAGCCTATTTATTTATTTATTTATTTTTAAAAAAATCTAGATATATATTTAACCCAAACTGGCTAAATTCCACCTTTCCACATCTCTCGATCTTTTTGAGTAAAATTTCCCCCCACTCTTTATTTATCTGTTTTTTGAAAAGACAGCCAACCCACCCCTTGAAAATGACTCTGAACCCTCTAATCCTTTCAAATCCTTTGCAATGATCTTGAGGTTCCTCCCATTGAGTGATTCTGTTCTTGTGGTCATTATGATAAGCGTGATCATTATTTATCTCTTGATCAAAATCCTGAGTGAGATGGTAAGATGGTTTCTCAACTATACTCCTTCATGCCCACTCACACATAAAATACAGAGAAAACATCTCAAACTGACAATCATCAACAGGATTGTCAGTTTGGGATTGTAACATGTTAGTCACTTTAATGTACGCTAAAGAACAATTTGACTTAATTGCAACCCAATTTAGAAAATGTCCAATAAAGAGAGCAGCCACAAGAAAAAGCATCTCGTTCAGCATAACTTAATCTATGAGATAACATTTATTATTCTGAGATCATTAAGTTCAGAGAGAGAAAGAGAGGCGGCAAGGAGAAAGCAAGCATAAAAAGTAAAGCAAATGAATCTAGAATTAACTAAAGGAAACAATCATTTTTTTTGAAAAAAAAATCTTAGTGTGAAAACAATAAAAATAAAGATCAACTAAAATTGTGCATAAAATTGTAGTTAAGCACTCTTTATGTGAAATAAAAAAATACACCCTCATACACCTCACCATTTGGTACTTTATTTGATTGTGATAATTTCCTGAAAGAAGTAGGTGCCAAATCCACACAATCTTATAGAAAAGAATGCTGTTTTAGGTTTGTTAATGTACCTTAACAGTTTATTTACAAACTGGTATTTGTAACTGTATTTGTTGTGCTTATGTTTGAATTTCTGAAGAAGTGTAAATAGGGTTGATGCTTACTTTAAAATAATGGCACAGGTTATTTTGGTCAAAATTTAAGGAGGAATTTCCCTCCCCCCCTCCCCTCCAAATGCTAGAAGGTAAGACCCTTAAAGGTGAAATTCGTACAATAAAGGCAAGAAAAAAACTTTTGGAATAAACACTAAAACAGCACAAATGACTATTTTCAAATGGAAATCTCTTGCATGATTCATATTTCTTTGACTCCAGTTGATGATAACGATGACAATGATTTTCTAAATACTTTTTGGGAAGTAAACTCACTGTCCCACGGCGGCTAAGGTTGAATCCACAAAGTATTGAAGAAATTAGAAGACAGCGGAAAGAAAACTTTTCTGTGCATGTCGAGTTTAATTGTGGTGAAGAATTCAAAGGACCCAAAAGTTCATTTAGTGTTCGATTATTGGCTTATTTGTTTTTCTTCCAATTTTTGTATCTATTTAAAAGATGATAGATAGATAGATACCTAGATAGATAGATAGATGGATAGATAGATAGATAGATAGATAGATTCTTTGCTGACCTTTTGATTTGAATTTGACTTTGCTTCTATTTACGGGTTCACTTCCTTCATTTTCCCCCACTTCGTTGCAGACACGCGTTCGTTCGTTCATTGGTAAACAAACTCGAGGAAAAAGCGTGTCGCTCTCCTTTGTTCAATGTGAAGGTCCTGGGTTCCTTACCTTCCAGAAGCGGATAGATGTCGCTGTTGCTCCACGCAGGTTTTCTTCTCTCGCAACAACTTGACCCCGGTGACGTCACTGGCGTCTGAATCATCAAGGCCATTTTCAATCCTCATTGGCCTAGTTATCACGTGGTTGGGACCGATGCGTGGATAATTATGGTGCTGATATTTTTTTTTTTTTGCCTAAAAAAAAGATGTCAGCCCCTGGCTGTAGTATTCCTCTTTAAAACCCTTCTCTGAAAATGTCATGTCCCAACAATGTGACTCCTAACTCGTTTTTGATGGACTCGTTGGCTGGTACCTGCCGGGGAGAGAATTATTCCTCTAATCAAGGAATGTATATGCAGTCTGCGAACGACTTCAGCTGTGGAATGATGAGGAACTGTGGGATTATCCCGGCTCTTTCCAAAAGAGACGAGGTGAACCACGCCGGCGGGCTGTCCCTCAACACCTATCCGCCTTACCTGTCTCAGCTAGATGCCTGGTGTGACCCTAAAAATACTTACCGAATCGAGCAACCTGTTGCAAGGCAGCTGCCTTCCTGCTCCTACCCGACCAGTGTGAAGGAAGAAAATGCTTGTTGCATGTACAACGCCGAGAAAAGGGCGAAAAGCGCCCCCGAGGCCACCCTCTACCCCGGGCAGATGCCTGAAGCTTGCCTCGCTGACCAGGAGGTGCCCCTGCCTAGCTACTACCGCGCCACCCCGGGCTATTCCTCCCTGGAGAAGGCGCCCAGCGGCGGCAGCCCCAGCGCCTACGAGGCCGGTTTTGAACCCAGGGCGGGTCTCAGCCAACCGAGCGAGCGTCGGGAGCAGCCCCCGGGCCCGCCGCCGCCGCCGCCCGCCGTGCAACAGCCCCAGCCGCCGCCCGAGCGGTCACCCCCACCTCCACCTCCGCCACCCGCTTTTCTCGCCCAGCCAGGAGCCCCGGGGGGCTTCCCCGAAAGCGCCAAGCCGGACCCCAAGCTGCAGAACAGCCCGGCTGGCGACGTCAAGACCGAGAAGAATCTCCCCGTGGCCAAACCCAGCCCGTCGGGAACGGAGCAGAGCGGGCAGAAGTGTGCCCAGAGCAGCAGTGACAATTCGGACCACGAGGCGAAAGGTAAGGGTGATCCTTCTACTGGCTTCCCAGGAGAGGAACCCTAAGGGAATGGGCAGCGGTTCTGGTGGGAGTTATTCGGAAGTGGTTGTTAATTGTCGTTGTGGTGGCCGTGGTTGTTGTTGTTGTTGTTGTTGTTGTTGTTACTATTGGGCTTATGGTTTGAGAAGCAGAGCCCCCAGGCTCTGGGGCTGCAGACAAACTCCACCAACTTTTCTCTTTGGGACCTGTTTGCTGTCCTCTCTCGGAAGCGCCCGGCCACCAAGAAACGATGACAGCAAGAATCATCAACAGTAACAACAAACGGCCCCCCCCCGCGCCCCCCGTAAAACCCCTTTGAAAGAAGGCGCCGCAGTGTGGCTCAGTCATCATGGCCAGACGTGGAAGCCCCTGCCTGCCTGGCGTGCTGTGGTTTTCGTGGGGGGACATCAGCTGGGCTGACGGGGAGTAAGGGCAGGCGACGCGGTCGGGTTAACGTTGGCGAAGTTGATTTTGATGTCTCGGGCAGAGGATCCCCAAAGGGGTCGTGGCGCTGAACGAGCGAGCCCCTTCGGAGGGGCGAGGGAGTGGTTGGTCAAGGAGCGGTTGCAACTTCTTCAAACGTGCTCTCTGGATGAGCTTTCGCCCCCTTCTCTCCTCTCCTTCCCCCACCCCTAAAAAGCAGGCATTAAAGTTCTTTGGGATGTTGTGGTGGTGGTGGCGTGGCGTGGCCGTGGTGATTGTCTTGGGGAGAATTTGACTGGCGAGCTCTGGACTGCGGGCTGGGGGCGAAGGTGGCCGGAGGGGAGGGAAAGTGAGGTGGGCTGGGAACGGTTTGCCAAACACTTCAAACTGGACTTGGTTGTTGAGCTCCATTATCAAAGTTGCATGTTCCCTGAATCACCCAGGTTGCTGCTTCAAGAGTTGTTTTTGCGCAGAAACCATGTCTTCTCCCCCACCCTCCTCCTCTTCTTCCTCCTCCTCCATTTGCGAAGGTGTAGGAACCTCTGCTTGAAGTTAAGGTGTTCTGGGCAGGAGCAGCTCCCGGAGGAATGAAGAAGGGACTTTCACAGAAGAAGTTGACATTTACCTTGCAGGTGAAGCCTAAAAAGGATCCAGCGAATAGAAGGGTTGGAAAGGGCTTTAATATGTATTATTATTATTTATTAAATTTATATGTCACCTTTACTCCCAAATGAAGGAAGGGAAGAGAAGGAATGAAGAGAGTGGAAGCATTAAACGTGGGGTTTGTTTTCTTCAAAACAGGATTAATTTTAAGCAAAGAGTTCCTCCACCTTCCAAAAAAAAAAAAAAAACTATTGGGAATAGATACAGATAAAAAGGAAGGTGTTTCTTACTTTGGCGTGAACGACTCCATAGCCTCACAAAACCCAGCCTGGAATTGGAAGAGGGAAACGTAGAAAGCAAATAGAAACAATTTGGCTTATATGGAGTCCTGTACATTTTCTCAGCATATATACTTATGCTAGCATGCATGCTTTCACCAAGTCCTTTTTCACACATAAGTTGCTTGAATTCCACCAAAGAATACAAGCACTTTGTCCTCTCTATTTCTCATTTGATCTTATGTATATGTCTGTCTGTGTATGTAAATGCATGCATGGGTATAGATGTGCACACATATATATGCAGTCCATATGTGTGTATCTACATCTACCAATGTCTCCACCCACATTGTTATGTATTCATTTATATAGAACTAAAGTACGGTTTTAAAATGGCCTAAAAAGGATTTTCCAATCCTCTTCCGCGCAACCAAAGATAGATTATTTTATCTACTAATAAAATAAGAAAATATGCAGCATCAAGGAGATGAAAATCTCTACAAAACTATTCACCCCAAATGCTTTCTTGCTTACACTTTCTCCAGCGTCCTTAATTCACAAAAGTGAAATGAAGAAAAATAATAAAATGCGAGGTTGACTTTTGGGAGAAAGGGACAAGGGAGAAAGAGATGGGGGAAGGGGGGAAAAAAAACCCAACCACTTCATGATCTCTTTTAATCTCAACAGTAAGTTCTAATGAAGAATTTGAAATGTCCCACCTAGGTTTTTCCAAAGTTTTATTTAATTTTCTTCCTTGCGGAAGAAGAGAGCTATTTGCTGGAAATCCAACCGCTTTATATATGATGCCAGCAGGGGGATGAATTTTGATGGGGATGATGATGATGATGATAATAATTATTATTATTATTATCTTTCCACCTTCTCTTTGTCTTATGTGGCGTCTTCCTCTCTGTTTCTATTACTGTATATCCAGCACGCCCTTATGCAAGGTGTGGAAAGGGAGTTTAATGTTTTTTTTGGGCGAAAGGCAAACCCTTAGAAGGAACTAACAGGGTTCAATGGCAGAGGGCTAAACATGTGAAAGGCATTTCCATGCAGCCGAATTAGTTGGTCGGTTTTGGAGTAGCTCGCTGATCCTTCCTAAATTTGGAGCAAGAATTCGGACTCCTGGGACTCCCGTAGACAAGACAAGGCTTCAGGCTTTGCCCTCCTATTTGAAGGTGGAGAGCTAAGAGCACCTCTGCCACCAGTCATAAAAGATCCAAATTCAAATCTGAAGAGGTGTTTGTGAATTTGGAGGCCGAAGTGAACAGTTGGAGTTGGGCACCTCTGTGCGGAAAAAGGGATATTTAGAAAAAGTCGGGGTGTTGTATATGTGTGTGTCTATGTGTTACAGGCAGATAGGAAGATGGGTCGTTTTTTAAGGTACAAATAAATCTTGGTCGGTTTGTTTTTGTTTTTTTAAAAAGTAATATCGAAAGTTTACCTTCACTCATAATAAAACTACAGAGCTTTCACATCAAAGGAAAATGGAGTCTGGACTATGGGGAACGGAGGGAGTGGGAGAGAGAGAGAGAGGGAGGGAGAGAGAACCAACACAGACAGGCAAAATATTTCTCTCTATCCACCCTCTAAATCTCCCACCCCCACCTTGTTTGGCTTTTGAGGAGTTTTTAATATGAAGGGATAGTTTCAGAGCAGTGTCTGAGCCGAGAGCTTTTGTGGCGTGCAGGCAACAACTAATTAGGACAATCATGAAACCTCTGGAACTATTATTATTATTATTATTTAAATATATCTTTCCAAACCTGGATGGAATTGTGTAACTGTAGGAGTCTACTGATAGATCTGATGCTTTTAACATTTCGGTCTGTCCCTCAGGAAAGTCCTATTCAGGTCTGAATGTGTCATAGGCGAAGGGTGTGTGTGTGTGTGTGTGTGTGTGTTTGGGGGATAAAAAAATCCAGCAAGAGCTGGCATTATTGTGTAGCTTATGTCCAGGTGAATATTATTTAAAATAGGAGTGCAGCCCCAGCTTTTTGCGACCCCTTAGCTCCTGTTATTTGTCCGAATGCTTAATCAGACTGTGTGTTTTTTTTAATCGCTAAATGTTAAGTAAAAAAGGAGTTGGAGGTAGAACGCCCATTATTTTTTAGCAGTGGACAGAGAGGTTTCCCATTAGCCAAAAAAAGCTGCAGGGGAAAAAAAAAAGTAGTCTTAACTCTAGGACGCTCGCTTTGCTATTCCAATAGATACTTATTTAATAATATTATTTTTAACAGAGGATATAAAGGCAGAAAACACGACAGGAAATTGGCTGACAGCAAAGAGCGGAAGAAAGAAAAGATGCCCTTACACTAAACACCAGACGTTGGAACTGGAGAAGGAATTCTTATTCAATATGTACTTGACCCGCGAGCGCCGCCTGGAGATTAGCAAGAGTATTAATCTAACAGACAGACAAGTCAAAATCTGGTTTCAGAACCGCAGGATGAAACTCAAGAAAATGAACAGAGAGAATCGAATTCGCGAACTGACTTCCAATTTTAATTTCACTTGAAAGTGTTCAGAGGAGGAAGGGACCGGCTATATGGGGAGAATCATTGCAAATCTTGTGCAGTATTTTTTTTTAATTATTATCATTATTATTCCCACCCACTCACCCCCTGGATAAACTGCAAGTGGAGCATTAGGAGGGAGGACGGGGAGGGAAAAAGAAGAGAGACCTCAGGCTAAGAGTTAAATTCTATAATTTGGGTATTTACAGATTATAGAGCGGAAATGCATTCATCAGTATGAGCATGTGAATATATATTTATAGATATATAGATATAGATATATATATATATATAGTGCCACAGTGTTTCTATATGTAAAATAAAGAACCAGCTGGTTGCTTACTAGCTTTTCAAACATCTTCTAAGGTGTTTTTAAGTTATTCAGAAACAGCACAAAGGGTGTGTTGGGGGCTTGGAAGACTGAAGGATCTATCTACATCTATGTCTTTTTTCTTTTTAATGTTTAGCACCCTAGCTATGTTTGAAAGTTTGCTTTTCACACCTTAGTGTAGCCTGACTATTGTACAATAATAAAAGATATCATGACGCCAATTAATTTCATACGTGGGAATGTGTGGAAACAGCAGAGAGAAGACATGCTTACTCAATGTAGTTTATGCAGTCTGCTTCCGGTGAGGCGGTGCTGTCACCCATTATATTTAAGAAAAAGGAAAATAATAAGGCAGCACCGCTATCTTATCTCTGGGGGGGGGGGGGGGGAGGAAAATGCCTTTTTTTTTTTTTTTTTGGTGTGTGGCTTGTTATTTAAATATATCCTGTATGTGGAATCTGTGCATGTATCTTTCTATATGGAGCCAAATAAATTTCTTAGAACCCTGGACAACTGGGTATTTTTCAAAGTGATTTCCGCGCCCCCCCCCCTCTGCCAAAAAAAGCACGTCTCCCCCACCCACCCACCCACCTAGAGTATTTTTTCCCCCCTAGTACTCATCCTTTTAAGGCTTTCAGGAGAGTATCCTAGCGGGTTTAATATAAGTGAGAGACCATAACGTTGATTTAAATATTATCCAGGTGACCACAATAAGTCAAGGTCATAAAACAGTAATGTCAGGACAGTCTTGGTAAGCGCTGGAGGTGGATTTTATGATCTGCAAATATAATGTGCCGCAGCAGTAAAAGATGCATTTAAAGGTGACTGTGGAGGAGGGAAGCAAGTCAGAAGCAGAGTAGCTTTCTTGGGATGAACACTCCTCATGGCTAGGGGTCCTTTTTCTGTCTGTTTTTCTTTCCACCTTTTTTTTTTCCTCCTTTCTTTTTTTTTTCTTTTTGAAAGGAAAGGCATGCTCCTTTTATCTCCTCCTCTGGAAGAGTCGTTTTCTATTATTAAGAAGAAGAAGAAGAAGAAGAACAAGAAGAAGAGAAAGAAAGAAAAGAAGGAATACACTTTTTTTTTTTTAAAGCCACCTCTTGCTCTCAGCCCAGCACAGAGAACAGGAATGTCACGGTGGTGGTGGAAGAAGGCGTGCAGAAGGTAAGGCAGACGGTTTCTTGGCTGAGATACATGGCTGAGATGCAAGTGGATTTCTCTCCCTGTGTGTGCGCGCGCGTGTGTGCCTGGGTTTCTCTCCCTCCCTCCCTCCCTCCCTCTTCCTGCGTCTACTCAAGGTAAAGGCAGCGTGGATGTGAACTCCACTTTGAGGCGATCTAGGCTTGATACAGATGGGGCGTCTGGTTTGGTGTCTTAGGACTTGGGGAGGGGGGGTTGGGATCAAGGGGGCTTCCCTGTGCCTGTGTGACAGCTCATTTTCGACCAGAATATGCATGGCTGAAGAACGGTGATGCATAGATTTCCATGTTGAACCCCTTGGCCACCAATACCCCCCCACCCTACCACACCCCTTCCTCTTCCTCCTCTTCCTCCTCTTCCTTTTCTTCTTCCTCTTCTTCACCCTCTTTTTTCCCCTCTTCTTCTTCTTCTTCTTCTCCTCCTCCTCCGCTTTTTAAACTTACTTCTGATGAAGTTGAGCTTTCTTTAGAAGGGACACCAAAGAGTCTGAGGGTTTTGGTTTTTTTGTTTTTTTGTTTTGGTTGGTCTCCAGAGGACTTTGGCAATCCTCAAACGCGTAGTAGTCGTCGTAGTTGGGTATTCTCTGAACGTGCCCTTTCGGTTTCAGAGTTTTGGCTGACGCGAGCTCTGAAGAAGGGGAAGGCAAGGACATTTGGTGGCATTTTGAAATGTTGTGGGATCACAGACAGACACACAAGCACGCCCACGCAGAGAAGTTCCTTTGTGGATATTTCTTCCCCACCTCTTTTCCCTCCCTCCTTCTTTAACTGCGATGGCAATATGCAACGCAAAATGAATAATGTCAGACCGGAGCCAGTTTGCCAATGAAGGATAGTGGGTTGTGCTGTAATTCAGTATATACTAACAGCTCAACCGCAGACACACAGACAACTAGAGAGAGAGAGAGAGAGAGTTGATTGCAGATTTTATTAAAGAGGAAGGGGGAGGAGAGGGGGAATCTTAATGAAGTGATTAAAGATGTTGCCTTAATTCGAAGTATGTTTTCTTAAGAGCTTGGTTATTCCTTTGCTTAGCTTCTATAACGTGGGATAAGAAAGGTAGCTGTAGCATAGCCTACGAGGAGACTACAGATGCTTTCTTTCTTTTTCTCTTCCTTTCTTCCTTTCTGTCTTTCTTTCTTTTTCTTCTTCTTTCTCTCTCTCTCCCCTCCATCCCTTTTTATCTTTCTTTCTTTCTGGCAGAAATGACTGTGGATCTTTCGCCCTTTTATGCAGCTGTTCCGTGGTTTAGGTAGTTTCATGTTGTTGGGGTTGGCTTTTAACTCGGCAACAAGAAACTGCCTTAATTACGTCAGTTAGTCTTCATCAAGGGCAACATTCCTCCCCCCCCCCCCCCCTTTTATTTTGACCCCCTTTCCTTTTCCTTTGCTACTCACACGCAGCCAGACGAAAGAGCCCGAGAGCCTTTAAAGGCAGGGAGCAGGCAAAGCGAACAAATGGTCGTAGACAGATTTTTCTCTCTCTCTCTCTCTCTCCCACCCCCCGGAAAAAAATTAGCAAGAGGAAGAGAGAGGGGAAGACAGGAGGGCAGGGAGGCAGGTTCGCCAAACCTCGTAACCCTCTCCAGCTCACTACACCATTCACATACCTTCCCAAACAATTCCCCCAGCACTTGTGGCCTCTTCGTCTGGACTTCAGATGAATCTTGGCTGTTTGCTGTTTGTTTCTGGCCGACGGGGCTCTCCAGACGGACAAACATGGAGGGGGTCCCTCTCTTGAAAAATGCTCGGGTGATGAAGGCTTCTAAGTTTGAGTTTCGGAATAATGGTCTGAATTTGTAGCCCAGAGGTTTTTCGGGGATCCAGGACCACCTTTGCTTCCCTTCTTGCGGTTCTTTCTTTTTTCTTTTTTTGCTTCCTGGTTTATGAAACGAGCTGAGTTTTGTGAGAAGTGAAGGGGGGGGAGGGCTGTGATGTGTAAAAGACCTCAGTTGATATGAACGCAGGTGCTCGAGTAAATGGCCGGGGAAGACTGAAATTACAGCCTTTTTTTTACTCCCAATGGCAATCTACTGCTGGTATAACCTGCCCAGGATTCTGAGATTCCCCTTCGATAAATTATAGCCTTATTATGTTCCTTGGCTTGAAGGTGGTTTGAAGAACAAAGCGGAAAACGGTACTCTAGGTTTACAGACCCTCCTCGGGGTTTAGCCACGGTGCCTCTTTAAAATGAAGGTGGAGGGGGGGAGGGAGCTAAACCACGAGCTCAAGATTTGATTCAGTTTTCTGAACGCAGTCTGGATTACACTCCGCTTCTGCCCAACCCTCTACCCCTGCCTCCGTTCCCACTGGACTCGAGAGCTAGGAAAGATAAATTAGCCCGTTAACGAAGACTGGCCGGTGTTGGGATGGACACGTTGTTTTGGCAAGAGGTGTTCGCTGTTGCTTTGGTGGATCGGAGGACGGTTGAGATTGAAAGCCGGGCTCTGTGTGTGTGTGTGCGTGAGCGCGGATATTTTCAGAAAAAAAGAAAAAAAAGAAAGAAATCCAAGATCCCAGTGGAAAGAGAGAGATTTTTCGCTACTGCTGCTTAAATGAGCTTTATCCTTCCAGATGGAGTTCAGGTTGATATTCGGGGGGAAAAAAAAAATTCACGGAGATTTATACCACCACCACCACTACCATCCAAAAAGAAGAAGAAAAGTGCCAAAGAGACAAGCTAGCATTGGAGGAAGAATTCCCCCAGTGTTCTACAACCCTGAATCCATGAATCAGGGCAGGAAACGAGTTAGCTAGAAAAAAGCAAGGGACAAGGGCAGGAGCCTGGGGGGCGAGAGAGGATGCATATAACTACTTCTGGTAGACAAGAAATACATTTCCGCAGCTTAAGTGCAAAAGGTGTGTTGGGAACCCTGTTCCCAGTCAAGCTCTAGGACTGTTCCTTTCTAAACACAAAATTTTTATTAGAAATAAAGTCTCCCCCCCTCCACCCCAGGGAGGATGTACCTCTGCTGTTTCACTAGAGGGGAGTTATTTTGCTACAGCTGAAATTCTCCCCCCTGTTTTTACTGTGGGTTCCCCCCACCCTCTACCGTCCCTTCTGAACCCTCCAGCTCCCAAGCAAACTTTCAGCAGTCGATTTGGGGAGACCTGAGTCCCTGAGACTGAAGGGTGGGGTAGGGTTGGGGTGCACGGATTCCCTTCCTAGAAGGAGAGGGGGCAACCTGGTCTTGACAAAATACCACAAAACGGGTGGGGCTGGAGGCAAGTGTGTGTGTGTGGGGGGGGGCGACTATAAGTTGTCAGCCCAATGGTCTACTCTACTACATCCTTTTCTCTTATTTCTGGTATGAAATCCAAAGCCCCGATTTGGGGTGCTGCTGCTAGCGAATGTGCTGGGAGCTCCCTTCTTGGAAATCTCTCTTGCCCCCTCCCCCCCAATGTTAAATAATAACACCCACGCTCGCCCTCCGATTTTTAAAACATTTTAATAAGCGAACGCAAAGCTGGAAAAG